TTGTTTGTTTGTATTTTTACCTATGTGTATTGTGTTTCCTTTCTTTTTTTTTTGAATGACAGTAACAATAGAAAGCAATAGAAAACAATTATAGATTATTAATATCAAAGTCATTGTAAATGTAATTGTTCCATTACAAATGCTTAAAGATTTTCATTTTAAGAAAATAACTATTTTGTCATTCTATTTGCTTGTTACACCATGTTTCTTTCTATTTATTTACTTATATAAATATGATATACATAGATACATACATGAATAATGTATTCAAATTGTAGAAATTATCTATGTCAATAATTTTCCTCTTTTATTACATTATTATAGCCTCTTACTTTAGTTGTAAACAAGTTTTGTTTATTTTCGTTTGTTTATTATTCAAGTAGTTGAATAATAGATTATCTTGTATTCATAGTGTTGTATATATATATATATATATATAGATATAGATAGATAGATAGATAGATAGATATACATCAGTCTGTAATTCAGAACCTGTTTTATTGCCAATAGTATCAGAAAGGACTCTAGATGTTTTGTAGGGTTAAGCTTAATGAAACCGAATTTACTATTTTATTGAACGAATAACTGTTATATCCTGATAAGAATAATGAATGGTAATTTTTTGGGATTCACTTATGGATCAATACTATAAGTATATTTTTATCGTGTAATTGTTATGTAACTGAACTGTTCATATTCATGTCTAAGTTATTATAAGTTTTATTTTGATCTATGAATTATTATTACACGATTTACCATTCTTGAATTATTCCCTGTCTGTTAATCACTATCTCCCTCATTCACAGCCACATTTGGCCATATTTTGTACAAATGTTATTTTCATATTTTATGGTACACTGTGGTCGGTTTGATTGATATATAAACTGAGTATGTTTGAAATATAATGATTCATACTGCAGAGGCTGGGATCGGTGTTCTGGACTCAACTGGCTGGGCTAGACAGGGAAGCAGGATCAATTAGGACTCTAGGCTGCTCGCACATGTTTTGTGCATCACTGGTTCGATCGATAATTCGCTGCTATCTAATAGGCTGTATCGTTGCTTTATCCAATATATAGGGCACACAGATTCACAAGTTATAACAATAACTTAAGAAATAATTGAAATACATCACTCATTGTTGACGTACTGATCAACTGGATCTTTTTTCCAAAACGATTTTATCAGAACTATGATATGATGAAGTGATTCCTGATTAATTTAAATGATAAATATTTAAGATCAATAATTGGTTATGGTTTGGAGCATAATACTAAAAATGTTTAAATTCTATAAGATTGAGAAATGATTATCATTTCTAGTTTATTATGTAATATATTTACAATTAGTATATTCAGCTGCCAAGTTAGTCCTATTTTCTTTTGGTTTATCTATGCTTTACGTGATATGATGAAATTACATAAACATATCAATGTGGTAGAATGTGATACTTTTTTTAAGACCCTCAATAAATGAATTAAGAATGATAGATTCTTCCAAGATTGTTTAATAAAAAAAAAATAATAAATAGCACATAGATGCTCAGAATAAAGCACAAACGTTTGCTCTTAGATTCCATACAATGGATGACACTTGATAATGATGTTCTGTTAAAGAGTGAAGATAATAAACGAAAATTCTCAGGTCGAGTTTTATAACTAATTGAACTGATCTACTATTATAAAAGTCTCTGAAAACGAGGAATGTCTTTTGATAGAAGATCAAAATAAATTACTGTGTTACTCAGTATCTGAAACAAATTCACCTTTTAGCCTCTGTTATTAGAGATATTCAAGTATGGTAATTGTATTTAAAATTGGTTTGTCTCTGCACTGTAGTTTATCTGTTGAGAGATACTGTTGTCAGAGATAGAGGAGATTAGATGCAGAGTTGCCAACTCGATTGTCTACACTCAACCAACAATTAAATAATTCATACTCTCGTGATGGTGTTTGGTTGTCTAAATTTCATTGCAGATTTTATAGTGATATTTGACAGACTCATTAATGTTTCATTAGCATGAATAAATCTATTGCAGGTTCCATTTTTGAAAAAATTATTGAGCTTTTTCATCTCAATAAATAACATAATACAAAATACTGAACATTATATTATTCTTAAATGAGCTTTTTTCCCTTTAAAACCAATAATCACCATTCCAAAAGATTGAATTGACATGATGTTGAGGTTAAAACCTGCAATAAAGAAACTTTTAATGAACATATTTTTATTCTCAGGATTGAGGTTTTATGGAGATTTTAGTAATTTTAATAGTTGAATTCATGAATCGATCTAAGGTAATCCACCATTGAGAACCTGGAAGCACTAGACGGCTGTTTCATCCTAGTTTCGGATGGCTCAGCAATGAGCATCTATGATTCCGCACGCGGGAATCGAATCCAGGAACTTCGATTTCGCGCACCTGGGTTCGAGTTGCGTATGCGGGATCATGGATGAGATTGCTGAGTCATCCGAAACTAGGATGAAACGGCCGTCTAGGGCTTCCAGGTTTTCAATGGTGGTTTAGCTTAGTTCGACTCATGAATTCAACCATTAATATTTTTATTCATCTTTAGGTTTTACATAGAAGTAAATATTCTATTAAAATGTTTAATTTTTTTAAGTTTCAAAACTTACGTTTATTTGATTTTTTCTGCTGTTCAACTAGTCAGCACTCCTTTATGATTTTACTCATCCATTGTAAACCAGTGGACTAAATTTTATCCAATTACATAACTACTTAAAATGTACCAACAATTAGTATAAACATTTTTCAATAAAGTATATGATGCTTCCCAAAACAAACTACAAAAACAATTACTCATAAATGTGTATTCAACCACTAATCCGGTTTCGTATCATTTATACAAATCTATCATCTCCATTAACCTATGACAAAGATTAACATAAAGCACATTTTACCGGTTCTTTCACCAAAAACATATCTATATTCTAGAAGTTCTAAACGCATGAAATAGCTGAGTACGAAATATATACAAACACAATTGTTGGCATCAGTATTCGATAGTATGATAATTCCAACTGATCACATCATCTGTGAAGTTTTTAATTGATCTAACTGACACTTGATCATAAGTAACTTATGCTTTCTAGTCATGATCAAGTCTCAAACTATCACAGTCATCGGTAATGTATGTAACTAAATATCGACAGAATTCGTTATATTACTTAAATATACTTTACTTTGTTTTGTTAACAATCACATTTTTAATTTATGTGAATATACAGATAACCAAAACAATTTCTTTTCTTTGTCTTATCAAATTCATTTAGTCACCTGTCCATCTAATTATAATCAGAATGTTCATTGAAGTTAAAAAATAATCTCTAATTTTAACAATCTCTTTATACTATCAACCGGCATTCTCTTCAAGTCCCTTGTTATATTTAAGCTAAAGCTTAGTTTCCGACCCTCCCCACCTTTATGACAGTGAAAATTAGAATTTAAAACTTTTGATATTCATTTTTCTCCATTCTACCTTTTTATTACAATTTTGACTACAGTTATTTAATATAGTACTTTTACTGTAGGATTTCTTAAGGTATTTTACGCAGTATACTTTGATTCCATATCGGTATTTTGTGGGATAAATAAGTTTGTTTCACTGAGGCAATTCTTAAAAGGATGAAACCCGACAAACAGTGTAATAGTGTTCACTTTTAACAAACAGGAAATAGACCACATAAACAAGCTGTTTTTCCAATCCATTATATATTGTCCTTTCAATGAAGGTACATATCTGAAAACAAATGATCTGGAAACACAAACAATTTCGCTCAAAAATTTGTATACTTCCAATTGAAACCTCTTCTGATATATTTTGTTATTCTTAATATAGATATTTTTCTCATTATATCACTCTGCGTTGTGTTTTAATTAATATTTAAGCTCCATATGCAATCGTTGGAGCTATGTGTTTGACACTGCTAGAATTTGTCTTTATACCGGATACCAGTTGATTTATCAGTTCTGTAAATGATCATTATCAATATGAGTAGTAGTAGTAGTAGTATATGATCTCTCGAAATCATAACAACACGCAAAGTAATTTTCTAATCTAGCTTATCACTAAGTGAGAAATATTGTGTGAACAACATTTTGAAAATGAATCATTATCTCAATAATGTTATAGTCATTATAAATGGCCAGTACATACACACGTTTCGACTTCGTGGCCTTGCGAGATAACAAACATAATTATGCAAATTTCAGTGATCGAAAATGTCTGGCAAAATCTTAGAACTGTTAAATTTCTTTAAACTCTTTACATAAATAATACAATATCTAATGTTTTCTACGTAATTAGCATTCAATTTCAATGAAACTATCTTCTTCAATCTTGACTAAAATGAATATGTGTATTGGGATTATATTAAACGTTTTGTACTGTAACATAAAAATTGACGTTGATATTTTTATTACCTGTCAAAGTCCCTCTATAAAAAATTGAAATTGTAACCTTAATCAAACTGACAATCATCGTTTAAACAACAACCCCCCCCTGATAGTCTTATGTTACCGGCACCATTATTAACCACCCCCTTTTTTTTAAAATAAATAAACATTCTAGCTTTAATTATTTCACATCAGTCAACTGCATAAATATATGAATAAATACAGTTTACATATATATTTTATGTGACCTATTTTTAGAACATAACTACTTATTTAAGTAATCTTGTCATTATTGATATTACATAGATTCAAATAGACTAAGGTTAATTTTTTTTTACATAATCTGTCTTTACTAAACATTTTCCTATCTGTTTTTCTTCCATTCTTGTTCTATGTATGTATGTATATGTGTTAAGTCAGCATGCTTTTTATTTCCACAAAATATTATGGATCAATGAATGAACAGTGTAACCGTAAAAATGAACACACGTGTATGCATGTGTTTATACTCCTAATTTAGATGTTGGGGTATTATTAAAAAAAAAAAAAGGAGAAAAACAATTGTTCTCGTACAATAATAATACAGTACACAAACTTTATTTGCTCTTCATATTATTGGTTTAAATATTTGTATATTGATGAGTGCAACAAACTTACTTCATTTGCCCATAAAGTAAAACAAACAAACAACAACAACAACAAATTATTTCAATGAACCATTAGATTTCTCAATTTCACTCTCCCTTTTATCTTAACAGAAAATACAAATTTTGTTTTTACTATAAAGACATATTATTTGTTATTTATTTCATATAGTAACATGTTAAATCATCATAGTTAACAATCATCATTACTTCAAGTTTATCATGATGTCAACTAATCTATATGTAATCATGTATGTATCTCATTGTGTATACACATGTCATAAGTCATTTTTTGAGGATATTATATAAGTTTTTTTCTTCTTCTAAAAACATTAACAAAACAAATGAATGGTAACTTTTAACTAAGTAACTTGGATATATAAAATACATTTATTTATAGTATTTTTATTCTTCAATTAAATAATCATCATGACAATTAATATGATATAATAATAAATTTGATTATTCAATTGAACAAAGTTCATCTTTATTGATTTTGTTTAAGTTGAGAATAGTGTAAAATAATACACAATCACTCTATCTCATATATACATACACATATATTCTTCAATGTTCATTTATGATATCAGTTCATTTTACGTGAACTATTGAATTGTGTATTAGAATTTAACGAATAGTAAGTTCTTAGCATCATAAACAAATAATGTAATATTATTATTATTATTATTACTATATTTCTGTATTATTTTTAATTTGATAACAATAAGGTATGTATACCCTTCAATTGAATTATAATCCATTAAGATTCTATTGTTACAATATCATGAATGAAAATATCGTAATTATACTATTGAATATAAGTTAATATGAAACATTAGTTTATATAAACTATAGTATATACTTTAAATTTTACAATTACTATTAATCCCATATACAATTCTTCTCTTTTACCTTGGCTTGGGATTGATAGTAACTCTAGAAGAACTACAGGTGGACATTATTCCTAAAAAGATATCAGATTTATTATTACATTATGTATTTTCATGAAAGTTTTTAAGGTATATCTATGTATGGTTTTACTTTGATAAGATTGATTAAGTTCAAAATGAAATAGAGCCTGTAGTTTACTTTTTGAATTGATAGTTTTTCTACAGTGTAAATAAGAGATCATCAAACTATTACATTTTTAAAAAAATAGGAGTAAAATAAATGTATACAAAATTATATACACAGAGAGGTACTATGGAGATTGTAGTAATTTAATCATTGAATACATGAGTCAATTAAATCTAGACCATCATGGAAATAAAGAGTTTTTTTTAAACATTTTTTTCTAGAAAAATCAACAGTAAATATTCAGTTAATTTAAGAATTTCTTTCAATATCAGAGACTTAGATTCCAATGTTGATATTTACAATGAGATTTGAAAGCAGTACATGTTGTTTCAGAAAGAAAACGTGTTATGCACTGTGCTGGAGAATCAGTTAAACCTTTAAGTGCTTTTGAGTTAAGAAATATTAAACAGACTTAAGCACAATAAAAAGTAGAAGACATAATATTCAAACTAACCCTTACCCCATATAACAAATATGGTTGATATTAATTCCAATTTATGAAGAAAACTTTATAGTATATGTGGTCACAGAGTTATTACATCTGAAGAGTAGTTTTATTCATAAAATTTATTCTTTCAGTGATTTCAGATTTATTTCGTCAGTTGTATAGTTCCTACATATTTTGAGATTTATCCAAAGTTTAAAAATTTAAGTCCCGGACAAACGATCATAAAGTTTATACTTATAAATTACTATCTAAATGTAACCTATTTTGGATGAGCCCTGATGAGGAGTCCCAAAATAAGACGAATTAGCCGTACAGTGCTTCCAGGTTTTTCACGGTGGTCTAGATTCAATTGATCAATGATCTAAATTATTGAGATTAATACAATTTCCATAAAACCCCTTCTGATATTAAATCATACGTTTACTTTCAGAACATAAATAAACTATAAAAAAAACAAAGATGACATAAGTGATTCCTGAAAACATTCCATTTTTACAAACTATCCTTTTAGAATAAAATCAAATAATTTACCTACCTACCTACGCTTATTACACCCAATGGAGCATAAGCCGCCGACCAGCATTCTCTAGTCCACACATTAACCAGAAAAAAAAGCATAACTAAGTTTACTGATCTACTAATCTACTTTGTTCTTCGTCATTTACTCCAGTTAACCAATATTTGTAGATGATCAGTTTATTCGTTCATATCTAAGCTTTTCTTTAATTTGTAAACAAACATTTCAACAACAACAAAAAAACAAATTTCAGAGATCATTTCTCAATATGAACATGTTATTAATAAAATACATATTAAATAGATATGGTATACTTTTTTTGGTTGAGATCATGAATCAATTGATGTTAGACCACCGTTGGAAACCTGGAAGCACTGGACGGCCGTTTCGTCCTAGTATGGGACTCCTCAGCAGTGTGCATCCATTGATTCATGATCTCAACCAAAAACTTAACAATCTCCACAACCCCCATACAGATATGGTATACATTTTCAATGACCATATTCTTGGTAGAATTATATAATACCATTTGTATTAAGCTAAATCAATCATAGACTGGCTAAATATACTTGAATTATCTAAATTGTCTTGAATGAATAGATGATACAAAAATTATAAAGTATCCTTTAAATAGTTACTAGTCTAAACACAACCGAAATAATTTTTGTTTTCAAAAAAAAATATTCATGTAAGACATTCCAAATAAGTTTATATTAAAATGTCCTATTTTACTAATACTTTAGATATTTATATGACATACATTCTAAATATTGAAATCTACCATAAGTTCTTTGTTTCTATTTTTCGAATTTTCAATATAATCAAACTAATTCAATTATGTTACTGTTTATATTAGTTAAATACAACTATACTCTTAGTTAAATGTTTTTGTAGTCTAATAGTTCATTGACTAAGTTGAAATATACAATATCATGTTATTATTATTATTATTATCAGCTTTATTCAATATGATATTTTTGGTACAATATAGAATTCTCAGCGTAAAGTATTTCAACAAGTTTCCGTTTCTTTCTTCTTGGTCGGTCCTGGCGATAAATATTCAGTGATTGCCAGTTAGATGTTAGCAGTTCACTAAATGAACATCTGAATAATGTACATTCTTTTCGTTGTATATTGCCAGCAACCACATTGTCTCTTATTGAGTTTTTTGTAATTTTGACAACGAAAGGTTGTACACTTTTCAGAAACGGAGCAGAATAGGTTATGCGATTAATAAACATAATGATATATTAAAACAAACAAAAATAGATAACTTGTTGAAATATCTAGATGGCAGGAACAGGTAGCCCAGATGCTCAAGCAGGTCTCTGTTTATCTCAGAAATACAAAATAAGCATGATTTTATATCACCTCAAGTGAAGATATGCCAAAATGTTAATTTTATTAGTTAGTTACCATGTCTAATGAATATTAACTGTTCAAAATTAAAAGAAGAATTATTATTGATTAATAGATTCTAGTGGCTTCATAATTGATGGCTTTAAATTTCTTAGCCTACATATCATAATTCACATTTATTCTAATTATTAAAGATCTATTTTGTTTTATTGTTGTTAGTACATTCGTAACTTAATTTATCGATCAATTGTACATCGATAGTGTTTCAATGAAGAGTAATTACAGTTAACGTAAGTATTACTTATCAACAAAGCATAATTTTCATAAACTATCTCAAACTATTAACGAATTGTAATGATTTACAAAAAGAGGATTTTTCACATCCTTTAGTATCAACCCATCATATAAAAACATCTATCATGTATAATAACAATTGTAACTACTTTCAATTATATTCAGCAAATCTTTCTCACATTTAAACTAACACAAATCACTATAACTATCAACAGATAATTTTTAACCCATAATACTGTAACCATGAATAATTTTTCATAAATAAACAACTTTCAATAAATCCATATATTTGACAGGTTGAAATCATGAGTCAGTTGAAGCTAGACCACCATTGAAAACCTGGAAGCACTGGACGGCCGGTTCGTCCTGGTATGGGACTCCTCAGCAGTGCGCATCCACGATCCCGCACCACGCAGGGCTCGAACCCAGGACCTACAGGCTTCGCGCGCCAGCACTTAACCATTAGACCACTGAGCCGGCATCCAACGGTGTTAATGTCTAACTTCAACCAATCCACGAAGTTACGCTACCGTACACCATTGTCTTCAGTGAATTGTTATCTCACAACAGACCGGTTGAACTCCACTGGTAACGGCTTCTCACTAGAACTCGAGGAGTATTTCCTGAAGTCAGTCACTAGTGAGCAGTTGATTATTATCAGAATGGGTTTTGTGGGGAGTTTTAGAAATTTCACAGGTTGAAATCATGAGTCAGTTGAAGCTAGTCCACCATGGAAAATCTGGAAGCACTGAATGGCCCTTTCGTCGTGGTATGGGACTCCTCAGCAGTACGCATCCACGATTTCAACCTGTGAAATTTCTAAAACTCTCCACAAAACCCATTCTAAAATCCAAATATAATACATGACTATTAGCCATGAAATTTCCTATAATCGTTCATTTACTATATAAATAATATATTACTTGATATAAATTTATTGTAAGCCTAAAAATTGGATCATATCTTTTAGGTTTCATGTATTTTACATAGGTTAAATAGGTAATTAATTATTCTTCATTATACTGAATGCAAAATCTAATGAATTCAGTATCAATAACGTAGTTTAATATAGATCATAAAAATTTCATATACATATTAATATTTAATTATATAAGCCGATAAGCGACCTAAAATAAATTATTAACATAATCAGTAGTAGATTGTATAAAACTTTAAATATAACAGAATATTGAATTACCTTTACAAGTGATAAATACCATTCATAAATGGTTCCACTTTTTTCACACATTATAATAAGTTCATTTTCTAAATGAGGATACCATTTAATCTGAAACATTTACAATGGTTATTATTATTATTATTACTATCATTATTTGACCTATATTCCATGGTTAGTACAAATAAATTTACCGAAGTACTTTGTTATGGTTCTAGAAAAATGAATCATTTTAAATTCACCTTTTTCTTTTCTTCTTCTTCTTCTTCAAGGAATGAAATCTGACATTTTATCTGTTATTCAACTAGGGTTTGTTTTTTCGCTTTAGTTTGTCCTCATTACAAGTGAACATTAAGTAAGGAATCATCTAATAACTGTTTAATTCCAATTTACTGAATTTATTATCAAATTACCTGAAGTAATAACGTTTTAAAAGAATTACTGACTATTATCTAAGTTTGATTGAAATATTATGAATATTACACATAGAATTATTTAAATATAAACGGAGATGATTGATGGCTAGTTATGGAATTCTAAACGTGCATTTCGTCCTATTTAAAACTCATCAGCCAAATATACATACATCTATTATCATTAATTAATTGTTAATTAAAAGTTAAAAACGAGTTCTAAAGAAACATATAGTGATAATCAGTTTTGAGAAGGATCGTATTTGTCACATAATGAGTGTTTAGGATCAAAATAAAACAAACAAACATCTTGTAATATTTTCAATTTATTACACACATCTAGAAAAATAAA